CGCCTAGAGACTCATCAGTCTCCCTCGCATGGGCAAGGCCATGCCTAATCTCGTCGGTGAGTTCCTTGTTGTGCTTCATTGCGCCACCATTAGTGTTGCTATGCAACGATCACGAGCGTTGAGGAGCAACCTGCTCTGATACCAACTGTCACGGGGATAATCGTTGAGGCCCCGTGCGGTACTTGAAATGGGCGAGTAAGCCTACGAAACAAAGCAAACACACACACAAAGGCAACAAGAAGGCACACAAATTAGCAAAAGGCTACTTGTATTGCGTTAATCAGTGGTAAGCACAAACACACAGTACAGTGTCGAGGGGATCTCGTGCTTAACCTTTACACGCTTATGAGCTCATTCGACTACCTACCTCCCCTCAAAGAGTACGTTAAGCTTTTGGGGGAGTGACAATAAGAAACGTCAAAAAGATGAAAAAGCATACTATAATATTATAATATTGCCATTGACAGTCCCCCATACAAAAATATATGCTTAGCCCACCCATGGCACACACTTGGACATTGGAGTTGCGGCTATAGGCATAGTGGATGGCACTTGATGGCGCGTCGAAGAGAACACTTGTTACAATTTGGCAGTGAGGGTGTGAAGCATGCGGGGATGAGTAGAAAGATGATGGTTGTAGTCAATTGGAACACATTTGATCAGAACCAAGACACAATAGTAGAAGTAGTAGTGTAGTACTTACTACTTCTCCATGTGGTCAAGCCCTCCAATTCCAAACAAGGTACGTACGTAAGTTGTCTTGTTAATTATTCAGTGGGTTGTTAGAAAAACTAGTTAAGGGAACCAAAATTAGTTGATATTAAAATAAGGTTGTTAATTATATAGATTAGTACCGGTGAGGAGTCCAATCCAGAGATCAGTCCAAGGGTTTAATGAGCTTCTTTGCTCTGCTCCATATATGAAGAATTCATCATTACCCTTTTCAATATTTACGCTGTTAGGAAAGTTTAATTTGTGCCTAGATTAAGAGGATAAGGCTAGCTCAGAAACCCATGAACAATGAGTGATCCACCATTCCAAAGGATCTAAAATGACAGACTACTAGCTAGTCATATAAATTTTCTTATAATTAGTGCATTTGCCACTCAAAGAAAATTAATTAAGGTCAGGTCCACCAAAGCTTTTTCTAAAATAAAATGACAGACTACTTTGTTTTGACTTTTGATGATGCAATGGCCGGGGTTTTATTGGGAGGTGCAAGTGCAAATAGTGGTAGCCTTAGTCACCATTTACAAACCATGGAACAACTCTGTGAGTTCCTTAATAATGCTTGAAGCTGAATTTGGCTTCATTACCATCCTTCAAATATTTTATGATATTTAATCATTTTGTCTAAAATTGATTAAGTAATAAGTCATTCAATTCAGTTACTTCTGCCGTTATCAACATTTAAGCCGTCAACGCATGCATTTTATCTACAACAACACAACATATGTATTTCCTTATTAGGTAACGATTTGAGTTTGAAGTAATTTATCAACAATTATTCCCTAGCAGGCCGGCAATCACCCAAATAGATATTCTGTTCCTAAATTAATGAATCAGATTAACATTTAACAGGGTGCAACCGTGCAAGTCGGGCAACATGGGCCAGGTTTATACTCAACCCAGGCCCAACCCTAAACATTCTTAAAGCCCTAAGCCTGAACCCAAGTCCGATTTGTCTAACCCAGGCTAACATTGGGTCTAGCCCAATGTATTCAAAAGTTACATATTCCTATCCCAATTTTAAACCTATCAATACAATTTACAATGATTTATTCCAGTCGGTGCAAGACCCGTTCTAACAGTCTTTATGGCTTTGGCCCTGCACTGACTGAAACCCATCTCCTTAATTTGATCCACTTTGTCACGTGTTGAGTGACCGGCTTCAGTCAGTGCAAAGGCCAGTTCCAACTGTGTTTACAGCTTTGCATGAAAAACATTTCTGTATTTCTGTTTTTTATTTCATGGGGAGGAGATATTCCCAATGCAATGCAAGGCTATAACTATAATAATTGTTCGAATGGACTTTGCACCGACTACCATGCATCGACAATATCTTCTCATAAATGACAACATCGAATACAGGGAGTCCACACTCTGTGCACCCATGGGTGCGGTGCACACCGGACGAGTAAACCCGCCAATCACAAACGCCCAAATTTATTAACTTAACGGACGTTTATTAAAGAATCCGGTTGAACCGGACACAAAAAGATAAAAAAAATACACGCCAACCCCTATACCAAAAGCATGCACCTGCGACCGGCGATATCACTGAACGCAGAAGCCACTGGCGGTGGGTGTGGATGGGTCTGAGATCTCATCCTTTTTGCCTTTTACCTTTCATAACGCTGGGACCACGAAGCCAAAGCTCACCCATGCGATTCATTGGTAACGCCTCTCCAATTCCACTGGTGTCAGGAACGCGTAAGCAAGTTCCAGTTTCAATTCCACAGTGGGGGAAGTGAAGCGCTGAATCAGCCAAACCAAACAACCGGAGGCAGTTTCCTTGTTTTCTGCAAACCCGGGTGCACTGCAAATTGCAAACTGCCGCATTTTCATCCAGATCCACTCCACATCAAAGCTTCGTCGTCAATTTGTCTGTCAGTCTCCTCTCTCTCTTATCCAATCTCCATCCACAACAGTAACAGCTCTCTTTCTATCTCTCTATCTCCCTCTCTCCAGAGTCCAGACATGAATTTTCAAATACAAAAGCAAACGAATTATATAAACCCAAGCCAAGACCCGAAGATCCTTTTTCATGTTGTCTGGAACCAGCCACTCACCCTCTTTGCCTCAATCAGTCCCAACTCTAACCCTGCAAGGGGAAGAGAAACAATCAATTAACCTGCAAATTTCTTCCCCCCTTTTCATTATAATACAGCAGATGAAGGACGAAGCGGGGGAAGTGGTGGACGGGGTTTACTTACATACCTTAACAGCAGAGTAGAAGATTCACATCCCATATCCTCTTCCCCGCTCGAAACTATGGTCTTGTTAGCAGAATATTCATTCCTTCTATTGGATTCAAGAGTCTTGCGGCATTTTAAAATGGTCACCTGTCCCATAACCAAACCCTTCGACAACGAGGACGACGGTCTCGAATCACCAGAGCTTGCGGTCTATTTCTTCAAGGGCTCTGCTTGAGGGAAGCGTTTTCTAGGTTCAGGCTGGATAGGCAGATCTGGAGTTATCGGCGTAAGGCTTTACGGCGAGGCAAGGCCACCGGACATACTCTCATGCGTTCGATTAAACAGTCTTGAGGGCGTAAAACTCCGTCCCCATCTGTGCTCGTAATTAAGAAAGGAAACAAAAAGAGATGTTCGGCTCTGCATCGTATACACTGGCCTTATAGAAGAATCCGGATTTTTTAATAAACGCCCATGAAGTTAGTAAATTTTAAGCACGCCAACGTGGGCATTTGTGATTGGCGGGTGTACTCGTCCAGGTGCACAGAACGTGGACTCGAATACAGGATATGTCGTCAATGCACATCTGAAAATACAGTGAGATTGGTGAGAGTTAGGTGTATTCTGTGAGGAACAAATACAGATTTGCAAATTAGAGAACAAATTCCTCATACCAATCTCACAGCACATTAGTAACATCTCCATTATTCATAGAAAAATGTTTCTCAATACACCGGGAGATGTGTTATGAGGTTGGCGTGAAGAGAGTTTTGTGATGAGCATATCCTTCTGCTTCATCAAACTGATAACTTGACCCCAATCTTCGAAATGGTTATTAGGAATTTTGAAAAAGTTTAATGTAACCTTTATTAGTATATTACCATGAAGTCCGTATTATTAGAACAATTACTGAAAATGTACCATTGAGGCTTGAGCTGCTCCTTTGTACGATTTTTTTTTTTTTTTCGATAAACAACATCTAGCTGTTCATTACTGCAGGTGTTATGTCCCAGTGGCCAGTGGCTGGGTATTGCTGATGGCCATGACCATGAGTTGAGCATACTGCAGCTGTTCCATCAGATGGTACATCAGAGGCCGTACTTATAAAATATGAAAACCTCCCCTTAGTTATCTGACAAGTATATATACCTCCTCCTTCCCTAAAAAAATGGTACAAATGTATATAGAGATTAGAGAGTTCTTGCTGTTAGGAATTGTATCTAAAGAATATGTTTGCAGTTGGTCCAATTCAGACGCTGTTAAAGCTAGATTAAATCTTGAACCACAACTTTACCTAAGAATCTGAGTGTGGGCAATGACTAAACATGAATTAGTGATATACTTTTTGCTTCAAATAATCTAAAACAATTGTAAATTGTCTCAACTTGGAACTGTATTAATTTCCTTTTCCTGGTTTAATTTCCATTCTTGATTATCCCATGGTACAGAGGTTTCCTGTGCAGTGGTTTATATGGTGGCTTTATCAGAGAATGGCCTATTGAAGGCATGCATGGTTTTGTGGAAAATCCAAGAAAAATAGATTTGAATGTCATCTAAAGTGAAACAAAAATAGAAATAAAGAGAAGCAAGCAAAGAGAATATACAGATTTATGTGATTCAACTTATAGCCTATCTTTATGGGTGAATGGAGAGCAAAAATCCACTTTGTAGTTAGCAATGGAGTAGAGATACAAAGTTATGTATTCACAACCTCACTCATAGATAAAAACTCTAAACCTCGATACATCCAATGTCTCACGTTTCTCTCATAAGACAATGACTAAGTATATAAGAGAGAAAAACCCCTGAAATGCATAATTCTTCGTATTTAGTTCAAACTCATAAGCTGATTATGGATCGAACCCGTACTGGCCTAAGTCCTATGCTTCCACCTACACCAGTATGAAATTTTAACTTTGGGTTTTTGTCAAATTAATTCAAAGCGGATTCATAAAATGAATGGCCACAAGAAATTGAAGACACATGAGTCGTTAAACTATTCTCCCTTTTCATGCCTTTGACTTTGATTATTCTTGGCCTCGGGATGCAGCACAATGTGATTATACTCTGATACTTCTGTCTCTGTTATGTTGGAGGAACGGTGGGAACTATTTCTTAAAGACATTATTGATGAAGGATATAGCTACAGGGATCAATATTATTGGGTAATGGTCGTTTCATTCATGGAGCATTTTTATGGCACTATTCAGCAATCAAAGTTCAAACTGATTGAGTTTACGTTTGTATGCGTCACAGAAGGTTTTCCTCCATAAAATGAAAGATCTATGAGAAAATACCTAAAACTATCTATCGTACATGGTTTTCAATTAACTATTAATTAGAGTTCTACGTAATCCTAAGGATCTTCCATAGCTGGACATAATTAAGTTCTACATAACATATATAGATGAGAAATGAGGTTTTCCACACGATTCAAGTGAAACTTCTTGAAAGTTTTATCTTCTATAAGATTGGGGGATGCAATGAAAACAGATAGGATTTCGACTCATCAATGTCTTTATTCCTGGGTACACAGGTCGACTGATAACTTATAATTTGTTTTTGACCAAGGGGGGAATCAATTTTATGCTTTGTTGTACTACTTAGGTCCTATTTGCTGTTTGGTAAGTTACTTATTTGGATAAATGCAATTAATTGGATAAGTTTTTTCTGTAAAATACTTACCCAAGTAAGCATATTTAACCATTTTCTTTTATTTCCCAAGTAAAATAGGAAATGACAATTTTAACCATAAAAAATCATTATTAAAAGGGGCACTTTTGTCCCATTCAAGTATTAGAAACTTTCCCCCCAAGTGGGAAAATTATTTACACACCTAGGAAATGGTATCACTTGGATAAATGATATCGAAAAAAATAAACTTTCTTTGATCCCTATATTAATCTGAAAAAAGAACATGAGATTCTTAGTCAACAGGAACCAAAATCCCATCGACCAACTTTCTCCCTCTCAAAATCTAAAAAATAATGCCCCCTTAATTATGCATTGCCTAGGAAACTATTAACTGATGTAGAAGCCAGTATTTTTGGCCCTTGAAGAAAGGGCAATAAAAAGTTCAGCAAGTGGTGTCTGAAATCACCCACCAACTCCCAAAGGACCTGTTATTATTCTTGGTCTTGGACTAGCTATTGCTCTTCTTATTTAGGAGTAACATTTTAATATGTATTTATATCAGACTTTAGCCGATTTCAACACAAATGGTTTCCTATGAAGTGGCTGTTCTATCTAAATACAAGGGCTTTGACGTGGATCGAAACACAGCATGTTCTTTTTCAAAGCCGAACCTAGGGTGCCATCCACAGCAAGAGCTATCTCTACATTTCTGAATTTCTATAGGAGTACTAGCTATTGGGGGCATTGGGATATCCAGGATTTTGGAAGCAGAGGATTTGCTTGGAAATAGGAATGGCCAGGGACTTTGACCAGATACATGCAATAGAAACAAAATTAAAATCAACGCAGTTGTAACAACTTCATCCATGGATAAAAGCCGAAGGCTTTATGGTTTGTATGGGGAGGAGAGATTGGCTGCGAGCAGAAACCAGTAGCTAGCCATGCACCATGACCATGAGTTATTGAAATAAAATGTTTGAGAAGGATGAGACTTATAGGCCCAGCCCATTATACCCTTATATCTGGTTCTGGAGTCTGGACTGACGTGTTTACTCCTTACGCTTTTATATGTAAATAGCAGAAGCAAAACCACAAATCGGAGCAGCTGGGGGCAACTTCTGGGAATGAGAAAATTGACAGTGAGGGGTTGTGCGGTCAGTGGTCACAGTTCATTCTCGTTCCATAAATGTCCACTTCCGAACTCGGTACTACATGACTGACAGATTCGTTTTCTGAAGGTTTATATAGACTGGATCTGTCCATCAGCCGCGCTCGATCCTTCGCCTCCACTTTTTTGTCCTGACCAGTCAAATCGCTTCCCTACCCATCAAAGCCTAACAAAACTATAGGACTGAAGGTGAACGATCTTACTACCATAGGGAAGAAAGAAAATAGTCAATACCTATGAAACAAATTAGACTACAACTGGATTTTCTTTTATAGGAAAGAAAATACAAAAAAAAAAAGGAACTGGAATTCTTTACAGCTGGTTGTATTTTTTTAATACATTTTCTGGTGGAAGAAAAATAGATATTCAGAAGCTCGTTTTCGTGGTCTGGGGTTCCAGGAAACAATTGGGTTGCTGATCTGCGGATAAAAAGTGAAGCAGGCTGGTCAAAAGTTTGATACAAAACTGTTTCATTCTACCACGGTAGATGGCTAAAATAACAGTTATCTCATGGAGTCAATCCTTTGCTGGACAAGCAAGAGGGAAGGTTATTTTACTTATTGTTATTTATTTATTTGGTTGGTCTGTGCTAACATATATTAGACCTCTGAGGCGGGGATGATGAAGAATATGAGAGAATAGAAAAAACCGCTGCCAGAAATAGCTTTGGAAGGAAAAAGAAAAAAAAAAAAAAAAAACTCTGGTGTCTCCGAGTTCCGACCTTTTCTTTTTAGAACCGTTCAACAGTTCTCGACGGCCACTACACTTTAGCTTTCAATGCGAAATCGTTATAAGCTTAGGGATCCTACGTGCAAAAGGTTTGTCCCTCAGGTTCGTTGTGTCTCAATCTAAAAAGCACGTAGCTGTCTTTATCCAGAACAACCATGTTTAGTTCCACTTCTGATCATCTCAGCTACTGCCAGCAATAGTGGCAGTTGTGGATTGCTTGGAGACATGAGGCCTCTGTTTATCTTTTCCCTCACAAATTTTTTCTACCGAATCCCTCATTTCATCGATCCAGAATAGGTTTTGTTTAATCTTCTTCTGTGGGGAACTTTGTACTTTTCACTCTTCTGCTGGGTTTCAAGGTTTTCCTCGTCGTTAAAGCAAAATTTTTCCTCTAGCTAGATAATAAGAGAGCTGGTATATATTTATTTTGTATTGTTTGCTTTTCTAAACAGCATCAACATGGGCTAATACTGTTTCAGTTTGGACAATGAAGGGAAAAGATAAAACAGAGTTTAGATATTTATATACACAACCAGAGACAGAAATCCAATGAAATCCAAGTTCATCCATCCTCGTTCTTGTGCTAGATATATAACTTTCTAGAACTAGAGAGTAGTATAATTTAGAAAAACCCAAAGTTCAAAATACACTCAAACCTGACGATTCTTTGGTGGATGCTAGTCCCTATATATGATAGAGATTATACATTGTCACATAATTGATGTACAGAAAGTAATGAGATTGAGATGACACCTCTCCCGCCATGAAGGCAATTTCCATCAAGCTAGCATAATGATCGAAAACTGCTGATCAGACAGAAGACTGTAGTTGGTTCTTCTATTCATTCAAATGGCGGAGCATCCAAGGCGGCATAAGTGAGTTGGTCCGAGCATGCGAGCGAGCTTCTTCATCATCGCATGCGGCGCCCCTTCCCTGGTAAGTACCACTGAATCATATGTATAGAAAGTTTTAGCCTTAGCAAGTGGGCAATGGTTGGTTGAGAGAAAGAGAGAGAGATAATGACCTTATAGCAAGTGAGGGAAGTGGCTGTGATAGCAGGAAGGACGGTGAGCTTTGTCCTTGGTTTTGTTGGTCCCAGTGAGCCTGCTGGGCCAGAGCCTTTTCCTTTTCCTTCTCCTTCTCCTTCTCCTTGAGCTATTTAAGAGGAATATACGGTTGACATATGTAATGAGTCGGAATGTGGTAGGATTTTGTCATGTGAGCCCATGCAAGTAATAAAAAACTTACCTTTTTAGTCAGTATGTTGTTTTGCTCCTGCAACGCTTTCTCCTGTAAGAAAGAAAGCACAATCAGTGTAGATAATGTGAGATGGTGCACCTTAGAATATTGGGTTGCTAAAACATTTTTACTTATTTTGTGTGTCGCCATTTTTACTTACTGGGAGGGATGAGAAATTTTGTCTTAGTTTTACAAGGAAAATCTACTACTCTTTATCAACCTAGAAACAATTAGCAACCCTTATTCCTAGAAACGCTGAGAGTTGAAATAACTGCATTTCACATTGTTTCCACATGAGGGTTATCAGAACAATCAATATGTTTTTGTGTTCTATTTACTTCTCCATTTAAATTGTTAATCGTAATAATCCCTGAGGCATGGGCTTACCTTTTTCTGAAGTTCTGAAATAGAGTCGTAAATGAGTTGGTTCTGCAAGGGAAAGAATTATTAAAGTAATTAGCCAATTGTTGAAATTGCCTAATAATTTGAGGAACAAGGTTAACAAACCTTTCTTGTTCGTATTTGTTTGAGAGCAGTGTCAAGCTGTTGCTCTAAATTCTGGAGCTCCTTCAGACTCAAGGACTCGAGGTCTTCTCCAACATAATGCCTGGAAACATCAGGGACAAAGTCAGCTTAATTTCCTGCCCACTTTTATCATTGTTGCTTTGACATCAGGCTCTACCTTTGGTTCCGCTGTAAAATCTCAATTTTATTCTTAAGCTTTGTGTACTCTAGAGACCAATTTCCCTGCACAGTATTAATCAAAAGAGTGAGCCATCTACATGATAGCACTGAATCACAATAACAACAGTTTCTTTAAACTTGGTTTAGAAGTTGACAGTAATTTTTTTTTTTTTTTTTTTTTTTTGTATTTTGGAGTGGTTCCAATGTCGTACCTGTGATTCGGAATCAGCAGCAATAAGCTCTCGCTCTGCATAAGAATATCTTTCATAACGTTCAAGGATCCTTTCCATGCTGTAATAATTTTTGGGGGTGGGGGATAAGGAAAATCTACCGAGTTAGTTTATCTGCAACAGACTAAACCATATCAAGGAACCTTCCCTTCCCACAAACAGCAATAGCACTACTTTCGTCATGCAAAGTTCACTTTTTCAGAAAATGTGAGTAAATAGAGAGATACAAATCTACATGATTAGCTTTATTTCATGGTGATTTACTACTGCCCAAGGGGAATGATATCATTCTTCACATCCTTATATATCATTTTTTTTGGTAAAATCATCTTTTGTATATCACTTACCTGTATCGTGCATGAAGACTGGTTCTGGTTATATAAAATATTGAAAATGTTATTCATCCCCGGGTTTCCATGGGATTAATACCAAACAAAATTTGAAATGATGCATTTTCTCGTCAACTGTCAACATGCTGTTCAGAATTTTGTCCACCAAAATTCTTGAGCTGGAACTATTTAGTGGTTCGCTTCAGCAATAATTGCAGATTATCACACACTGCACATGGCTTGGCCAAAGCTTGGGTAATCCGTAAAGTGGCAGCATTCTACCTATAGAAGAGATCCATGAGTAAGGCTGTCATGGGAGTATGAATGTCCGAGAACTGATTATTTCCGAATCATTCGACCAGCTATCCAAGCCCCATTATAAATTATTTATGAATAATAAATGTATTCGTTTTTTATTTATATAAACTTAAACTATATATATAAGCAAAAGATTGGTTATTATATTTGTAAAATTTTAATTTTTTTTCTTCATTAATGAAATGGACTCAGATTAAATATGAAATTCCAAGAACCAATAAGATCTAAACCTGAATCTAAGACCCGTAACTGATTGAATTTAAATTCAATCTTTTAATAAAAAAATTCACTGCAAAAAAAGCTATTTTTTGAACTATTCTTCATTGTTTTTGCCCCTTTTTCACAAGCTTTGTTTATATAACAACTCAGCTGCTGCAGCATTGTGTAATGACTATACTTTGGGATTCCTATTGATGAATTCCATCGATTCTCGATACTCTTCAACTCAATGGTAATGCTACTTTCCACATCTTTTCATGTTGTTTCTCTGCCTTCCCACACTTCTAAGCTATGAATTTGTGATAATTGTAGGTATTGTGCTTGGGCACTTCTCACAAGTGATTCTTGAACTTAATGCATTCTCGAGGAAGTGAAGGAACCATTACTTTGCAATCTGCTTTTTCTTTTTCACCAAAATTTCTGTTCATATCAGCTATGTAAAAGCCAGAATTGTGTTCTTCCCTATTCATGATTAGTCTCTCCCTTCTTGAGTGTTGATCAAAATCCAAGAATATCCTTCAAAATAATTACTAAAGCTAAATCCAAATTTTGTTAAATACCTGGTTCCAATTCAACCAAATATACAGCCACTGACTGGTACCCTGTTAGAAGTTTGTAGGTCTCCTCAGGAGCAAATTGGTGTATCCAGAACAACAGCGTAAGGAGTTGATTATGCTGAAGCAACAAGAATACAAATCAAAGGGAGGAATTGGAGAAGACTGGTAAGTTATTTGCAAGCTATGCCTGGCGCAATGGCTGTACTCCAGACATCCATGCCTACAGCTTGGAGTGAAGGTAAAGATAGCTAAATAGCCAAACTAAGAAGTCCAGGACTACTTGAAAAGAGTACATACAAGAGATTGAGAACATCTACATTAGTTTTTAGCGGGAAAACGAAAGGGATGTCAATCTTAGTTCTCCATGCCTGTTTTACTTGGCTAGTAGTAACTATTAGGGATCTTCTAGGGATGCTTCGTGGCCTTCGCCCAATGTATGCATTTATTTGATAGGGCATATTTATAATTATCTGTGGTTACCCAGCCTTGGGTTTCTCATTCTTATCAAAGGATGAAAGAAAAACACTTGGTTCTGTCATCTACCACATGCTAATCATCATCTTCATATGATCTGCTTAGCTCAATCTTCCTTCGCAATCCCCCTCTAGTGAAACAAATCAATCCTAACAGTTTGAAATCTCCTTTGTAAACATTGTCCAGGGAATGGGAATCCTCCTGAAGCAATCATGCTATACATGCTGCGCTTTATCTACATTGAACATCTAAAAACGAAGGTTTTCGGCACATTGCTGACTAGCTTAGCTGCTTGAAAGAGCCAACCTGTCACCAGCCCAGGAATCTGGGTCTGTTGAGTTCCCAGCATGATTGGTTTTTTTTTTTTTTTGTAAAAAAAAATAATAATAAATAAATAAAATACAGTTCAGTCCACCCCCAGAAATTTAGAGCTCCACTCTAGGGGTGGACTGAATCCTGACCATGGATTGATGCCAAATCCACGGGCAGGATGCGGTTTAGGGGGGCTACAAGTAGACTAGGAAGGGGCTTCAAATCAGATTTCTGTGGGGAATTGCAGTCCACAAATCCCACTAAAATAAAAGATGTTGATTGAGTTGATTTGGTGTCCTAACCGGTAAAACTGTGAACCATTTGACCCAGTCAACAGGCCATTGGTTAACCAAAACAAAAAAAAAAAAAAAAATCTCTAGGATTCTCAATTTACTTAGAGATTACCCGGCTTATATAGCAAACAAAAACAATCATTAGAGCATTTAATGTAAAACTAATTGATGTAGCATTTAATAAAATTAACCTTCAAAATCCAATAATATACTATAAAGGTTTTTTAATACGTTTGCAGTTAAAAACCCATTAGTGAGTTTAAATGTGGGTCCACTTGTCTTCTTTTAAAACCAATTGGTGCTTTTTGGGGCTTCATCTTGAACTGATAACAACCTAACTATCTAAAAGAATTTGAATAGCCATTGAAAGCCCATTAGTGAGTTTAAATGTGAGCCCATTTGTCTTCTTTTAAAATGAATTGGTGCATTTTTGGGGCGTCATATTGAACTGCATCAGTTAATGGATGATCTATTTGTAAATAACAAATTAACACCCTACCTTATCTAAAAGAATTCGGACCCATAAAGCCATAACAATATAATGTATAAAGCATTTCTTTTGGGTCCTTTATTTGATGTTCAGTCGATGGATGTTTCAAAATTAATAGAAATATCAAATAACAAAATCCCAGATGCTCATTGTTTGAGAGTGGAGGGAACTATATGCGAAGAAAATGCTCTTAGAATGACTTTTTTTTTCTTTTCCTTAAGAGGAAAGGTGACCATGATGTCTCATGAGGGTCAGAGTACTGATAGAATGGGATTCATATTTAAGTAATCAGTAATGTGGATTTTGTTGTATCTTCTCTACCGAGTGAAATATGTATTGGGGGAATGGCTTCTAGTTGATTTAAGAGTATAGACTTGCGCCTTGTTCTTTGGTAGAGAAAACTAGGTAATTTACATGGAAGACTAATGCCTAAATAACGAACTATTAACTGCAAACTGAAGGACCTAAGAGAAGTAGGGAAAACTAAGGTGGTGTCCGATTCATGGTTCTAAAAAAAAGGTGGTATGGTTCAGAATCATACCAAACTTTTCTTGAAAATGACAATTTTCTTTTTTTACTGCAATGCAAATATGGAGTTACTAGCCAGTGGGACGGCAACATAAGAGTTTTGTGCCCCCCCCCCCCCATTCACAATGACTAAAATACAAGAATGCGCGACTATTTCTTGCAATATAGCATGTGTGAAAAACTGATACGAGATTTTATGGAGAAGATCAAAATCGTGAAGCAAGATTTAGCTCTGAAAAGAAAGAAAAATGAGAAACATGTGTCGTGATGTGCCTAACATTGTATGTTCCTAGTATATAGCTCGAGTATAATAATACATTCAAATGCACATGTGCACGAGAGAGAGACGTTAACACTTTATATATATTTTGACAACTGTTAAAGTTATCTTTAATCGTTTTCAAGGTTAGATTGAGGGTATTTCACGGGGCAAGTATCAAAAAGATTTGAACGTGCTTACAATACTGTACCTATTTGATCCCGACTCTCCTAGAACACCTTTTGGCTATTTATACATGCAACTCGTAGAAACGCTTGAATATGGATTTTAACCTTTAAAACAACTTCTATGAGTATTTTTTTCAGGATATATATTTGAGTGATTTTAGTTCTGATAAGTTTAATAAAGTTGTAATGAGATTAAAAAAAGAAGCTCTGATGGAGATGAAAATACAAAGACTTGAATTTTCTCACATGTTGACACCCTATCAATAAAACAACTATAACTCACTCGAGGTATAAAATTTACAAGATCTTGGTTTGATAGGGAAGATAATAACCTAATTTAGAGACACCATAATTATAACTTTTAATTAGCAAAGGTAAGATTTATTAAATTAACTTGAAAAATGAGTGATAAATACTACTTGATAGACCAAAGTGACACACCCCTCTTACAAGCCCAAGTTACAAGGATACCCAAAGCAACCACTGCCTCATAACCCCTTGTTTGGTAAGGAGTCAGTTAGCTGTGAGATTGGGGTGAGTCCGAATCTATTCCTGATAGAGTGCTTCTCACAACTCACAGCATGTAACAGGAAAGTCTCTCAAACTTATATGTGATTATTCATGAGAAATATTCTCAATACATTGGAATGTGCCTGTGAGATTGGGGTGAGGAAAGTTCTATGAGGAACATATCCCAATTCCCAAGGAATATGCTTATTGGATTTTTCCAATGTATAACTACCCATGAGGAAAGTTCTGTGAACTTGCAATAGAACCAACAGTTCAGGAGTTTCCCCAACCAATTGTCCTTGAAAATATTGTCACAATACTCTTGTTTGAATCACTGAAAATCCCTCTTATTCCATCTATTCTCGGGTTTTGGAGGGAGCTCCCAATGAAATTTAATTTTACTCTATTACCTGTTGGGAGTTCCCATTCCAACCTAAGTCTTGTCTTTTACTCTTGAATAGTGTTATTTCAACCCAAGTCCAATCAGACATTGAAAAGGAATTGAAGATGTCTAAGGTATTTACCCAAAAAGCAACCTCTGTTCTGCCCTTCTCCAATAATATTCTATTATTTCTCTCTTCCCA